CGTTAAAACTGTATCTCATGAATGTGTCACGTCATTTTTAAAAGTCAGTATATAAGTATTTTTCATTTATCTTTAATTAAGTTAAATGTGCTATGAATTTAATTAATAACATCAGTATTATGGGGCCACTAGACTAGACTAGTTTGTATGAACTATATCTGTGGTCCTCACTAGAATTACTATTATTATTGTGTATATTATTTATTGTATATTTTCTCGTGAAATAAAAAACAATCATGCATAATATTTACCTATCTGTTGGTATGTCAATCACTATCTCTGTGGCACAACCACAACATTCTTTATGTAGAATAACGTATGCATCTAGTGAAAGGTTTTTTTCTTGCAGTCCAACTGGCCTAGCAGCGCCAAGTAAATCACCAAATAGATTTTTAATTCCCATAACTGATCTGAAAACAATATATTTGATATCATGTTCAAAGCAGACTGTTACCGATATCCAGCCACATCAACCTTCTAAATCAGTGAGCAAATGTAAATGATGGTGGCGTTGGTAAAAACAACGATACTATACTACATATAAATACAAACGTCACTAAATATGAAAAAACGAAAACTTACCATTAACAAAAAGGGAGGCTGCAGTCAAAATTGGACGAAAACTGAGAAGAACGCATTTGAACAAGCAAAGCGAAGTCAACGAAGCTCCATGGTGTACACAATGGCTGCCGCGAGTGAAATGAACCGATCACGCTTTTTGTTCCCATGATGCTTTGCGACGCGACTCACACCACCTTTTACTTCGTAGTGATTATAATAACTTACAAAAAAATATAGCAAACAAATGCTGAACAGGCCACGCCTCCAACTGTGCCATGCGTTCGGGCAAACCGTTAGGAATTCCCAAATGGAGTAAATTTGTGTAGTTTTCTTGATTTATTCTGCAGATATCGGTAAAATGTAGGTAAGGCTTTGGCGAAATTTGATGGAGCAACTAATATTCTTCAACCAGGTATTTTTTTTAGATTTTATTTTTCATTCTTTTCGTCTGTTTTTTGGAGTTTAAAAAATGTGAGCTGGCTGGATCCTTCATCCCTTGTCTATTTCTTACACTAGATATCAGCCGATACCCCCCCCCCCGCGCTCATAGAGACTGGGTATTACAGTTGACTATAGCATAGACCTTTCTAAGGTCTATGATTATAGTTCCTGGGTTCCCTGTGAGTGGAGGTACATTAACGTTTGTGTATAGTGTGCAAACACAAATCAAACTACACGTTTCAGGGTCACCACATCCTTCAGAAACGGGACTACCGTTATTCACATACCAAATAATTTTGCCAGACCCCGGGGGGTTATAATCTGATAAATGACTTGTTGTAAACTGAAATGCTGTAAATTTGGCGGGGGGGGGGGACCTTATAGATTAATACATTACCGGCATAAATAAACATATGCCATATTCTTACATATTGCAAAATTGTCTTACTATTCACGGACAGTTTTATGTCCGCTCAACTATGTAAAAAATTTATTAACTCGTTAACCAAAAAAGAAATGTCACATTATCTTTACGGTATTAATAAAGTATTCTATTCTATTCTATAGACTGTAGGGGTTTATACTCTGACAACTACGGAAATGATGAATTTGGATATCATGAACTTGGATATCATGGTTACCATGAAAAACCCCATCAAGTAAGCAATTCTTTGTATACTGTATTTATCACACTTTTTGTATTACCGTGGAGGTATAAATGGTATTACATAGTACAAGGAACATGCTTTATGTCCTTAGTAAACATGAATGACCAGAAAGAAAAATCGTCAAATTGTTCTTGAAGTTGTAGATCAAGCAATATTTTATCATATCCAAACTAGTGTACTTATAACGTTTTTATTCAACCACAGTGATTCAATCAGGGATTCCACTGATTCAACCAAGCGAGAGTGATTACGTAATTAGGTAGTATGCGATTCAACGAGTATTGTAACAAACGCGACTGTGTCGGACAATACAATGACAAGAAGTCGGACAACTGCATTTTAAAATCACCTTGAACTTTCAAAGCAGCTACCATTGAACTATCCATGTGTCCATTGTATCCCGCCTAGCGGCGACTTTTCGTCCCCACATGGGTGGTTTGGGTAACTCGTTAACAGATGGCAGCAAGCGTACAGATTTCACAATTACCTCACTGATTCATCAAAGACAAAGTTCTCTCATCTCTTTGAAATAACTTCCGATTCATTTCTTTTCTGTATCATTTTCGTGACGCAACACTAAACAGCGATTACAGCATCAATAAATGAACCCATACAACAAACAGCGTCGAATGAAAGAACAATGAAAAATACAAGCTTTCCCAATTATACGCGTTTTGCAGTTTGGACGACATTTCGGTGTTCAGTTAGTTAAAAAGTAAGGCATTTATAAGGTACGCTGACAGGGAGAAACCAATGTTTTCATGGAATGTTCCCTGATACACTGTATAATTCATGCCCGGTGTCAAAAGGAGAAGAACACGAGTTAATTTGAGGAATGGACGGGATTATTATAACACAATCCAAACACCACAATTTTAAAGGGCATCTGTTCCATCAGAGTCATAGAACAATTGACCGTGCACATGGTCAATCTGTGAGTGTTCGACGAGTCATTTACCGGCTCTGACAGTGACGGTGATGAATAAAACCCGGCGTACTGCACTACAGTACAGTCAGCGCACGGGGGGGGGGGGATACTTTACCAGAGCTCAACTCACCTGCCTGGAGCAATACACGTTCAACGTAGTGTGGAATTATACAGGAAGTGCCCCCAAAAAACCAAAGTCATTAACAAGGACCGACGCGCGACGCACACTCGATCTCCTTTGTTGCAACCCACGTTAGTCGAATCTGACAGTTGCCTAATTAACATATACCATTACGTCATTTGTTTAAACCTATGACACACCAGTCTGTCGATCGCTACTCGTGATACACTACGCGTGCGTACACTACGCGTGCGTAGTGTATAACTTTTGTATCGCTTGTTGTTGGCCTTGCCACGCGCGTTTTTTCCCCGGAAATTTCCGTCACTTTCCCATTGATGTTAAGACAGTTCGCTACCATTAAAACATGAACAAATTGATAACAGTAAATCATTCAATGAGTGTTGTGAGGATGATTCACATATATGCACGTCATTCGTATGTACGACATTTCCATCGGTGTTCAGATAGTTAAAAAGTAAGGCATTTATAAGGTACGACGACAGAGAGAAACCAATGTTTCCATGGAATGTTATTTGAGAGTGCGCAGTCCAGCCGAATGGACTCTTCAAAGATTAATAATTGACGGTGTGGAAAATCAACAAACAAGCCTACATTTTTTTAAATGGGAAATCCGGGGTCAAAAACAACAAAAGCGGTATGCATTTTTCCACAAAGTTGTGTGAACGGGGGAGGCGGTTGCCATTTTCGCATTTCGTCGGTCTCGGAAAAGATGTGAACGGGGCACTGATGGCACATTTCTATTACTAGTATATCGCTAGGGTAATTCCGTCTGCCAGGAATTGTTATTTCGAGATTGTCGTAGTTCGTTGATAGTTGATTTATTGACCATGCTTTTCACACGTCTTAGATTAATCCCACAACAGTGTTGGTCCATGGAGCTATCTTTTTTAGCTCCATAGTTGGTCCAAGGTAAAAATCGACGAATCCATGGAGGTAATATACCTCCATGATGAATTACAGTCCATCTATAGAGGGACTGTGGATGAATACACGGTATGCAGGGTCACCGAGGATTAATTTCTCGACATTTTTACGGTTGAGTGCATTCTGGAATGTCTCGCCATGGAGGTATACTTAGACATACTACAACGGTTTAGTAACCGTGATGGTATAAACTATCTCCATGGTCTCGCTTATCTTGTGCAATAGTTTGCCAAACCATATACCTTAAAGGGGAACCGCTCAATTGCCAAACAACCGATAATAGATTAAAATCGTTCATGGAGCTTTGTTTAGCTATTGCCATTGTCTTTGTGTTTAGATATAGGACAGTCCCTCTATCCGGACTGCGGATATAGATATAACCACGGTTACTTAGTGACCGTGATATAACGTAGCCATTAACTAACTTTAAAGCATTTAAATCATGAATTAAATTTGAAAACATAAAATCTATTACCATAGTTATTAACTTCCACAAAGTTTGTATTATAAAAAAGATATATTATTGCCGAGAAGTAGAATCATCGACACGTTCATGGAAGGTGACGATTACCGTCCATGATATGTGTAATCTAATAAGGTACACAGAAATACGAGTAAAATAAACACATCTTTGTTTTTACACTCTAGCGCAGACAACTGATTATTAGTTGTCTGAGACACAAGTGATAGTTTGAAACAAATCATCGGAACAGTTTCTTGTATTGTACATGGTTGTTAATTGTATATACCATAGACAGTATAGTAGGATAACGTTTTACTTTCCGATCTCCCAATTCAGTGCCCGCAAACAGAAACTCTCAACAATGTAAGTACTAGGTGTCTCCACGGTTACTAAAAAACCGTGGTGTCTCGTAAAGCAAAGTTATACGGGCTGCTTGTAACTTCCCAATACACATGTAATAAGCACCACGATATAACCATAACCCGAACTCACATTCATGTGTTCGCCAGTTCAGAGTGGTAACTATAAACGTGTATCGAACTGTGCTGTGTTTGAGTACACGTAGGTCCATGGTGTTTCCAACTCACAGCGTAAAAATCCCCTCAAATAAAAGTGCCACCATCTTTGAACAAAAACAAACATGCAAATTATCTTTGGCTGGCTTCTTTTTGGCTTGCAAGTCTATTGTTCCCTTTTGCTTTTTTTTATATAATTTTGTCCTACCTTCGCCCGTTGCATTGCAAGGTAGGCTACGCATGCGCAAACAAATCGCATTGTGTCTGTCAGCAATCCGTGAATCGGGATTAAATCTGAATGAGTTTGAATTCAATATATCCGCGGTCGTTTAAAGTTTATACACTGCCAATACACACGCTAAAAACGCGAAGGCTCGTAGATAGACGCTTGTTTGTAAACAACGACACGCTATGGCCATCTGACGCATGCGCATGTCACGACTCCCCGCTTTAAATCCGCTATATCCGTGTTTTTATAGTACCCGTTCGGACGCAGTCCGAAAACGGGGACTTATGTTTTGACCTCCGTGTGTCCGTGCGTGCGTGCGTCCGGACCTGTATCTTAGAAATGCCTGGACCAATCACAATCAAACTTCACACATACATCATACATGATACATGATATTATACATATGCACGTCAATTTGTTTTACAATCTGATTCAAGATGGCCGAATGACGGCCATTTTTGTTTGCTAAAAATCATAAAAATCAGCATTTCTCGGCTGTTTACAGATGGATTTTGTTCAAACTTGGTATATACATTAGACATTATGGGACCTAGATGCCACGTAAGATTCTTATTTAAAATATCGACAAACTAAAATATGTATCTTCGCTGTAAATATGACGTACACGGAGTAATTGTGAATATGGTATAGAATCTTTCATTTTAGTTGGATGTGATGATTCATACTATAAATAACATCAGTAGGTTTCATGTATTAGTAGAAGTTGAAATTCGATCACCATCAACCCTAGTAGAAATATCGAGAAATGGGTGTTGTTTCTGATATTTATTGTGTGTAATGTATTGCGGGATTAAAGTTGCTTACAAACTCGATGAACTATAATAATTCATCACGACTGCTTGACATGGCACCATAGCCATATACTAGTATATAGTCTATGTCATATACAGCCGGAACGCAGCCAAGCGTTTGGACCGTTATTGGACGCGATTATTAGATTTGAGTAGCGCCACCAACGGCACGAAAAGTGCGACATAAAACACCAAAATATGAAAGGAAGCCATACTTTTGCAATATACTTGTATAATACTGCGTCATTTAACGAAACTATTAACGATCGATATTTTTTGGTCGTCCTATTTTTGGAAACAATTTTGGGCGGACTCAGCAATGCGTATAGTAATAGTGTGAGAATTTACGCGTTTCTAAATGATCCGAAGGTGTAACATCAGTAGACGAAAGCCGTAAAAATCAATAAGAAAAAGTTAGGATGCACATTCTCCTCAAACCGCATACCGCAGATTCCTACTCCGAACAACTGTCCTCTTTTATACAAGAATAACTTGGATTTAAAGAAAAGTGCCGAAAGATTAAACCTGTCAATTACTAACAAAGAACCAGATTCCGGACCAGCCCATGTTCACTGCGTTGGCTTTCAAAAGGAGAGAAGCGTCGGGTAACTGTTTCAAATGTTGAAAAACGACCAAATAGTTACTAGTATGTTATGTAAGAGGTAGCAATAACGTGGCACAAAAATCGATGCGTCGGTCAAACAGGAAATCACGCAGCACTTACACGCTATTGTTTGTGATTAGGCTGTTTGTGAATTGTTTTGTGATTGGTGTTCACTTCATACTTCTGTGATCTTTCTTGCAATTTGATCAGTGTTGCAAACTTTTAAAACAAGAATTGCACATGGGACCACTATTTACTTACATAAATTTATACATTATTGGGCTAATAGTGTCAATAATTGTTGAGACCAGGCACATAATATGGTTATATGTAGGCATATTAAAATGGTAATAAAAACAGAATAATTTCGATAACACTATGGAGTTGGGTATAGTGTAAATAAATGAAATTATTCTCATTTGAGTAATCGATGAATTGCACAAATTTGTAACTAAAACAACGATACCTTTTATTTTATGTATTACATGAAAGATTTTGATAATATGATAAAATGTTAAGTCCACAAGTTTTTGGGACTCGTTTTGCTATCATTTACTGTGGATTATATGTATATACACTTTCCCATTAATACATCATACATATTGGTTTGATTTTATGACAATTATCAATCGAAAGTATATATACTGTTACCTCTTATATATATCTTATATATTACACATAGTGTAAGATGGAGAACCATCAGTTACGAATGATAATTTACTGCGATGCTGGACATGACGATGTGGAGTCTATTATGGTGGCACTATCACAGCCAGACGTTGAAGTGCTCGCTATAACGTGTGTCAGTGGTACAACCAACGTCGATAATGTCTGTCGAAACGTCCTTCGTACACTCAAAATTTGTGATCGCGAAAAGGTAGGAAGAAATACAATATATATCGTAGCATTTGATTTGTGGAGCATTCACCCATGGGGCGACGATCGATATTTCTGCTAACATTAAGTTTCCTTTCCATTCACATTCCGGTTTATAAGGTTGTTTCACGTCACTTATAAGCGGTGATGCCACTCTGGAGTCTGACCACATACATGGCTTTGACGGTCTCGGGGACGTTCCCCAGTACGTCTTACCAGACATGACACTTCTCAGCTCAGAGCATGCAGTCACTGCGTTAATTCGATTAATAAATCAACACGTGGGAGAGATCCATCTCGTAGCAACTGGCCCTCTTACAAACGTTGCCATGGCAATGAGGATGGACCCTGGCTTTACCGAGAAACTAAAAACTTTGACAGTCATGGGTGGAAATATTTATGGTACGTTTAAGTTCGTTGCGTCTTCATGCATTTAGTCATTGCTGTATCAATACAATAAATATAAGTGATTCTTGATGGTAACACGATATGTTTTTCCTTCGAATTCAAGGAAGAGGAAACATCACACTATGTGGCGAATTTAACTATACCATGGACCCGGAAGCTGCGTACATTGTATTGAATTCCTGTCAATGTTTGGTGACCCTACTAACATCCAAAATCTGTGAAGAACACTTTCTAACTTTTGTCAGTAAATACTAGTATGCAGTTTGTTCATGACAGTCAGAAAACAATGTGGGAAAAGGGTTTGGATTATTTTATGTTTAAAACGTTCTGAGAATAATAAATGTATAAGTGACTTGAG